CTTCTCCCCTTCCTGCAGTGAGGCACCCTGTGCCCGCAGTGTGCACAGCACCCCCCCCCCCCCCCCCGGGACGCCCAATGCCCAAGCAGGAGGATCCACGCCCCCGGGGCCTTCCCTGGCTCTGGCCCTGCCCCTCAGTCACCCGAGGCCCTAGCCCCAGGCAGCCCAAGCCAGCTCAGACAGAACTTTCCGGAGAAAGGGGATCTGGCAGCAGCAAAGCCAGCCCCAGGAAGCAGCCCTGAAGCCACAGCAGTGGTTCAACTGGTCAAACCAGAAAATCACCTGGCAGCCACCTTGGAACCCAGGTGGCCTTTAAAACAAGAAGGTCTGGAGGCCATGTGACACATGTACTCCGGGAAGAGCAAGGATGGTGTTCCTTCAGCTTCATGAGTGGCTCACATGACATTCCTGGCCACCGTGCAGAAAGCGAACCAAAGGCCCCCTGCATGTGGATGTCCCTTAGGCTGGGACACAGTCTCCCTGCCAGGGCAGGCAGCCCAGGACACATGAGGCCCTTTCAGAAGTTGCCAGCTTGACTGGTTTCGAACGGCTCTCCACTTCCTGGAGGGAAAGGAGAATCGGGGCCACTGTGGAGTTTGGTGTGGCGGCCACAGGAGGGGTGTATGGCAGAGAGAAGAACTGAGCTGCTACCCCAGCCCTTGACTGGTCTCCCTGCTGCGGGTCTTAACTCCCACTCCCAGCCAGGACCCTAAGTGCCACTGTCACCATGTCATTCCCCAGCCCAGGAACCTTCTATTCCACTGCGGAGGCCCAAGGCCCACCTCCTTAGCCAGGCCCTCAATGCCCTCTGCCCTCATTCATCCATTAATTCAACAACACGTATGAAGCTCGAGCCTGGCCCTATACCAGGATGATGAAAATGAAGAGGACTAAGATTTGGTTTTACCCTCACGCCCTTAAAGTAGCGTTTGGGAGACAAAGAAAGAGAAACAGAGGAACGTTCTCACTCTTCCCCTAAAAACTCCCTTCTGTTCTAGCCAGACTGCCCAGAATCCCAGGAACGCCCCCTGGATTCCCACCTCTGTTGTCTCTGCTCCTGTTATCCCATCTGCTCCTTCCCCTCCAGGAACGGAAAAGCAGCCCACACTGCAAGGCCTCCCCTTAGCTTCCCTTCCTTCTAGAGCCTTCCTTGCCACTTCTAGTCAGGCTGGCCTCCTCTAGCCCTTTGTCACAGCAACAGCACTCTCGGTCCCCTCCCCGGTCACTGGCTGCCTCCTGCACCCTGGCATCCTTATTTAGCTGCTGGTAATGCCCCCCAAGAGCTCCGTAACAGTAACAATGATCCTGATTGATCCCCCACATGTGAGGAGTGCTTCACCAAGGGCTTCCAGATCTTGTTGTGGCCTTAGCTCTTTTTGCTTGTGTGCAGGAAAAGGTGGCCTGAATAGGTCGCTAAAATGCCTGGCACAGTGCTTTGCAGTGAATCCTTAATTAGTTTAACAGGTGAGGAGTCAGCAAAAGCCATTAAGGCACGGGCTGCCCACCTGCACACGTCCCCCGTCTGGGTCGGCATAGCCACGTGGGGAAGGCTGGCTTGTGGCACAGATCCAGCCCACGGCCACCTGTCTACCTGCGGACTAAAAACAAGAGGGGCAGTCAGTGCCTCAGCCGACCTGGGAGGTCTCCTCACTGCTCCTGGCAGGCCCTTCTCTGGAACGTCACGGGCTTTTAGAGCAAATGCCATCAATAGTAAGTCACAAAGGTGCCAGCCTAGGTCACATCAACATGATCCAAGAATCTGAACTCCGTCTTGGCAATAACTAGTGAAATGCCTCGTTTTCCCCATTTCACCAAAGTCGCTCCGGGAAAGGTGCCTAGATCAGTGTCCAGCATGGTAAAAGAATGTGTCTGAGACATGGAGCAGCTTGAGAGAGGTGACGACGTGTCTTATTCATCTTGCAATCTCCAGGTCTCAGCCCTGAGCCCAGCTATAGGACCTGGGCATTTTTTTCTGAATGGATAAATTAATGACTATGAATTGGTAGTACCCATTTTCTTGGCTCCTTGATTAGCCTCCTGGCTGCCCTTCCGAACTCCGTGGGAAACTCTCTGGAACCCTGCAGGGAAAGCTTTCCTTGACCATCCAGCTCTGTCCCTACGTCGTAGTTCTTACTGAAAAACATGCCCAAGACCAGATAGAATCCCAAGTGCCTTAGGTAGTGTTGGACAGAACGCAGTCAAGAAGCCCAGTGGGCAGATTTGAAAAGGCTAGTGGGAAGAAAGACAGGTTTCTTTCTTTCCCATGAACCCAAACTCCTAAACAGTCCTCTGCGTCCTGGGAAAAGGTGGACCCAACCATCAGAAGCAGAGGAAGCCCCTGCTCAGGTTTTAGGTCAATACACCAAGGGCCTTGAGGGGATGGGCTGGGGAGTGTGCTATCGAGAGACCCCCACTCAGTTCGCTGACTCACTGCCTCTAAAGTCGTCGGCCCCAGGGGGACTCTGAGGACGACCCTGTGACCTGTGAGGGGAAATTGCACATTTGTCTCTTTGGCAGGAAGGAGGTGTCCAAAAAGGGAGAAGACAAGGTGGGAGAGACAAAAGGAGAAGGGCTGGTGGTTAGCAATTTGAGGGCATGGGACTTAAGGAAAACACAAGCCTCAGAAGGGCCATCTTGGGATTTCAGAAACATCGCTTCCCTCATTTGTCTGTGGGAGAAGGGGACACATTTCCTAGGGGAGGCTAGCTCCCCTAACAACACTGAGCAGGAGCCCAAGACCCTCTGAAATGAGGTGGATGAATAAAGTGCTCCAGGGAAAAAACCTAGGTCACTCCTTGGCCTTGAAATGTGGCCAGAACACCAGCGTGCAAACAACTGCTCATCAGGCAGAGTCTGGGGGCCACCAGCAGCCCACAGCCCTCTGTGATACCTCAGCAGTTCCTGGCGCCAAGCCCATCCATAAAATAGCCACTGAAAGTTCCCTTAAGTGCTAACCTGCTGCCCTTTGTCCCCAAGCCAGCAACCTGTCCCCATATCCCATCTGGTTCCTCAGCCCCTCCCCTGCTCACTCCCAGGCCTTTCCCCAATGCCTCCTCTTCCCTGAGCCTTCCCTAGAGGCATGCAGTCCTCCTTTGGCTGCCAGTACCCTGCCCATCCCTCCCAGATAGATAGCTCTCATCCACGCAGTGGCCCCTCCTGAGCTCCAGAACTCCTAGTAGCCTGTATGGATGGATGTATCTGTTCTCTCACCTTAAGTCCCTTGAAGATAGTGAAGCAAAGAGAGAATGAGACCCTGGGAGCTCAAAGACAATGACAACAATAATAACTAGCATTTATCCAGCTTCACACATGTCCAACTTTGTGTTAAGTGCTTTTACAAACATAATCTCATTTAATCCTTACAGCACCTCAGGAGGTAAGTACTGTTATTATTCCCATTCTACAGATGAGAAATGCAAGCTCCAAAGCTTAAGTGGTATTCAAGGTCACACTGTCCCAAAGTGAGGTCTCCAGGTCTATGTGACAACACAGACTGCCTCTTAACCACGGGTCTCTGTCCCTCCTGGCTCTACCTGCTCCCTCTTCTCTCTTGGCAGGGAAGGTGTGTTGGGAGGGAGGCTTCCACCCTCGAGTGGGAGCTGAGTGCTGGGGGCGGTGGGGTGGGGGGAACCTGGGCCGGGCTGAGGCTCCTCCAGGGCAACAGTGGGGGAAGCTGTTAGATGTGGTGGGATTCCCTCAGCTCAGACCTCCCAGAGGAGGAGGCCCCTCAGGGCCCAAGGGGGAGAGCCCCCCCTCAGAGGGGGGCTACCCACGCCCTCCCAGAACAAGAGATGGCATCACAGTCCAGTCTGGGAAGCCACGAGATCTTGTCCCTCTAAAGCACAGGCTCCAGCATTGCCAGATCAAAGCGATGTACTGGAAGGTGGGTCCTATCAGCCATCTGACCCGAGGTGTGGACAGTAGTCCTGACATTCCCCATCCTCCTCAGCCTCCTTCAAAACAAACCTTTTGCCAACTGTTTTTCTGGAGGTGGCTAGTAAGTGCCCCTTTCCCACGCAAACACGCTCACCGAGTCTCTGCCCTCCTCCAGGTGTCCCATCTTGTGGCTTACCTTCACAACTGTGCTCTGGAAACTCAATCCCTTTGGCCCCTCCCTTCCTCCTGTCTTCCCCCTCCTGGCTCCACATTGGGTCACCCCTGAACTGAGGGCACCCAGTGCCTCAGTGACGCGGCTCCCCACCCTGAACCCCTCTTCCGGAGCACAGGCTTTACTTCCCCTCCCCCTCTCCACCTGGGGGTGTGGGGAAGTCATTTCGGTGGCTAGGATTCTCGCTGCCCAGCTCGGGGTACCCAGGCCTAGACTCGCCCGGGTGGTCTCGGCTCCGATGCGCATGCTCCCCAGTGCGAGGCCGGAGAACCTATCCCTAATCACGGACCACAGCAGGGACGCCCCCACCTCCAGGACCCGCTTCTCAAGTCCCCAGGCGGCGGCCCCTCACCGGGATTTCTCCCCTGGTCCTGGCCTCCCGCGCCAATGCCTCCAGCCGGAGAGGCGGGCAGTTCTCCCGGGCTGGGGCAGGGGCCGGGGGCGGGGGGGCGCGGGCCAGCCGCGGCGGTGGGGAGGGTTGGGCGCCCCTCCGGCCACCGCCCCTTACCGATGGTGGAGATGTGCGAGGAGTGGAACTCGTTGTCGGTGAAGCGGCACAGCAGGCAGGTCTTGCCCACCCCGGAGTCCCCGATCAGCAGCAGCCGGAACAGCACATCGTACTGCTTCGCCATGGCTGGGGCCGGCGCGGCCCGGGGGGCTGCGGGCGGGCGGCGGGCTCAGCCCCGCTCGGCCGCTGCCATCGCGACGCGCCTCCGCCGGGCGGACGCCGCGGGCTGCGAGGAGGAAGCCGGGCCGGCCCGCTCGCTCGGGGCCGGGGAGCGCGGCGCGGCGGGAGCGCGGGTGGGAGGAGAGAGCGCCGGCGGCCCCCGCCCGCCCCTTCCCCTGCGCCGCCGCCGCCGCCCGCCCGCGTCCCGGGAGAGGGGGCGGGGAGCGCGCGCCGGAGCGCGGCGACCCCACGGCGCGGGCCGGGCGGGGGCGAGGCGGGCGCGCTCCCCGGCCCGAGGTTGCGCGTCCGGGGCTGGAACCCGGGCCCCTCCCCACCTCCGTGTGCCGGACCCGCGAGCCCGGGGAAACGGTGCGGACGTTCTGAATGCGGGAGTTGAGGTGAGCTCCCACCCGGCCCACCTCTACCAAACTCGGCTTTCGGGTCTCATCACTTCTCCCCAGATCCCATCCGGATCCTGGCCCTGCTAGCCCCGCCCCGGCACCCCGCCCCTGCGCGAGCCGGGTCGGGCCTCCCAGAGTTGGTCCTCGCTTGGCTCACCCCGGGTCGGAAGGCCTTGATCAGGGTCTGCTTTCAAACACCCATCTATTCTTGAAGTCGCTGTCTCCAGGAACACTCGAGAGTGTTGCTAGAATTCTCTCTCTCTGCCATCTGGCTTGCCTATAAACCTGTGTGGCTGTGTCTGCCCTCCTCCAACCCCTCATCCCAATTTTAATTTAAACGGGTAAGATTTCTGCTGATCTCCTCCACTAGGGTGAGAGCACAGATGATCATAAAAACATATCCGAATGCACCATCCTTCAGACAGGCAAAAGTATCTGTTTTGGGTCTGGGCGGCTTAGATGCCGGGATGTTCAGGATGCCAGTACATTATTTCAGACCACTAAGTATTTCTGCTGGTGTACACCCATGACACCAAAGAACGCATGGGCCTCTTTCAAGACGTAATTTACTACCACTGAATGTGTTCGCACCAGAGAGAGGCAAATGCGTGTTTTCTGGAGTCTAGAAAATTGTGTATTCCTAAAAACAGTATTAGGGGTGAACAAGCCCAGCTCATTAGATCTTTAAAAAGTGGTCAAAAGTGTGTATCTGAGTATTGGATAGAGAATATATTTTTCAGTAGTAGGTTAAGGAAAGCAGTAAGTCCATCTTCTTCACTTGAAGAGTTGTATTTTAGGCAATGTGTCTAAATTTATAATAAAGAGGAAAAACTCCGGAACCGGATAGCTACTTTGATGATATGAAAAGTTGAGAAAATGGACCCTGTGAATTCCATTAACATTTTTCAGATTTCCAGGTGTATTTTTCTTCACTGGATTCACACTGGGTTTCAGGTGCGTGGTGGGGTCTCTGGAGTTGGGCACACTGGGTTCTAACCACAGCTCCTCCACTCACTGGCTGTGCAACCTTGAGCATGTTACTGTATGCCTCCATGCCTCAGTTTCCTCATCTGTAAAATAGGGATATCTTCACAGGATTGTTGGAAAGATGATATAATGTGTGGAGAGGACTTAACACAGCACTTGACAGTACTCAATAAGTGCTGAGGGACAGAAACCACGTAATGTTTTCCCTATGCATACATGGATGGTAAGTGTATCCCACAGATGGTCAGGGATGTTTTCCAGGAACTCAAGCCATCCTGCTGTGATTCTTATCCACACTACCACATACAGTGTGGAGTGCAGGTTCAACTCAGCCTGACCCCCTTTGGGCACTTCAGCTGCCTTCCCATTGATTGGCATCCTAGTGATAAATATTCTCTGCAGGCCTGCTTAGTGGGACCATGAGTGGCTCTCTGTTTGCCTCTGTCCAAGAAAGAGGAAAGAAGATGCAACCTGAGGTAAGTGCCTAGTCCAAGAAGAAACTTCACTTTGAAGGAAATGGCTTTCCCTAGGCAAGACAGGAAAAGAAGTGAGGTTTCCTAAATGAGTCTGGGGAAATAAATACTCATACTCATAAAAAAATTAAGGATATCTCATTATACTTTATTCAGTAGCTTACATTGTTTTAAAAACAGAAAAGCAACAGGGGATCATCTAGAAGTCCAAGCTAGACATCTAGATTGTCCATTCACATCCTGACTCAGCTGCTTTCAGAAATATGTCTGTGTGTGTGTGTGTGTTTCACACACTATGAGATGGAAGAGCTATGATTTTGGGACAGTGTTAGCAAAAGAACTATATAAACTAGTGAAGACAACACAGTTTGCTTTAACCAGGGACTTTATAAATGAAATACCTAATTCCACCTCCTTACATCAGCACTCAGTGGGACATTCTGGCATCCTCCCCAGTTGAGGTCAACTTGGACTGGGACAGGTTTCAGTAGAGCTGGGAGATGTCTAAGAATGGTTGCTGGATGTCTCTCCCACAAGAAGCCTCCAAGAATCAGTTTCTCAATTATGTTATGCTCATTCTTTTACCAGGGAGACAAGTGCCTGCCCCTGCTTCCTGCGACCCCCCCCCCCCTCCCCCGCCCCGGCCCAAACACAGAGCATGCTCCCTGTTTAAGCAGCCAGCAGGAGCACCATTGTGGGATCTGCCATCGCCAAAGCTGAATAATGGAAGAGATGTGCTGATAGACAGCCCACTGCTGAGACCAACATAGCTGGACCATGGGGCTCTTCATTAGCAAAACTCTATGTGTCTTCCAGACTCACACCTGTGTTTCCAACCTTGACTGACGTAAGTGATATGCTCACCTTGTAGAAGGAGTTCCACCTTATTTCAGGACTAGAAGAAACAGGACAGAACCCCGCCCCCCCATCATCTCAGTATTATCCTCCATTCATATCCTCTTTCTTTTTTTTTAAGATTTTATTTTTAAGTAATCTCTATACCCAACATGGGGCTTGAACTTAACCACCCCGAGATCAAGAGTTGCATGCTCTACCTACTGAGCCAGGCAGGTGCCCCCATCCTTTTTCCTTTCTATCTCTAATAAATAGAGAAAGGGGGGAAGACTGAAATGACAAGGGAAGGGGGGGGAAGGCAAGTTCTCAGAGACACATGCATTTTGGGGTTGGGGACCAAAGGAAACAATCCTGATGGTAAGTCAAGCTAACACAAAAGGACCCACAGCACCACTTCAGGTTGTCCTTGGTATCCTGGCCACCACCTTCAGGACTGGATTAGCTTGGGCTGCCATCACAAAGTACCACATAATGGGTGGCTTAAACAATAGAAGTTTATTTTCTCACTGTTCTCAAGGCTAGAAGTCCAAGGTCAAGGTGTTGGCAGGGTTGGTTTCTTCTGAAGCCTCTCTCCTTCCACCTGGCCATCTTCCTGTTCACATTCTATGCCTTTCTGTGTCCTACTCCTCTTCTTGCAAAGACATCAGTCACATTGGATTAGGGCCCAAACATATGACCTCATTTTACCTTAATTACTTCTTTAAAGCTCCTATCTCCCCAAATAGTCACATTCTGAGGCTTTAGAGGTTAGGACTTCAATGTATGAATTGGGGAGTGGGGAGAGACACAATTCAATCCATGATAAAGAACAAATCCAGGAGCCTCATCAGATATTTCCTATGCACAGATAGTTTTTAGGAATGATTTCATTATCTTGGAATAGGAAGTAAAAGTTAAACCTTTCCTGTGGCTTCCTAATAGGTGGTCTAGACTGTCGATGGGAGGATTTCATGATGGGACAACCTCAGAAGATTCTTCCCTTTATGTGACTAGAGTTGAGAAGACATAACTAGTAACCACCAACCAGGCAATGTATGTCATATCAGACTTTTACTGTCAAAGTTATGTTTGGGGGGTGGGGTGGGGACCCCATACTTAGGAATCTATGTAGGAATAAAATCATTCATTATATGTATTAGTTAAGGCAATGTTAGATACTGTAACAGATAAACCCTTCAATCTCAGGCACTCACATATAAAGACTTCCCTCTCATGTAAAGTGTGTTGGGCAGCAAGGAGGTGGGAATGGGGGTGGCTCTGTGCTACAAAGTCATTTAGGCACCCAGGGTGGCAGAGGCTTTGCTGTCTTCAATAAGGACTTCCACTGTGGGACTCAATTTAAAAGCAAGACATGCTCTTTATAGGATCTGCTTTTCAGGAAGGATCAAGGAAAGTGCCCACCAAGCAAGGATTGGGAAATACCACCCTCCAGTCCCTCACACTTCAAGGTTACAGGCTTTCTTTTTCTAACTATACCCCTGAGACGCCCCTCTAAGACTGCCTTGTACACAGCAGGGGGGGGAGGGCGGGGGGGGGGCGTGATACTCTATAGGGAAGATGAAACTTTGGGACACTCAACAGGGGAGGGGAGAGTTGACCCTGTTGTCTTAAGTTAGCAAACTTCGGGGCGCCTGGGTGGCTCAGTCATTAAGCATCTGCCTTCAGCTCAGGTCATGATCTCAGGGTCCTGGGATCAAGCCCCATGTCGGGCTCCCTGCTCAGCGGGAAGCCTGCTTCTCTCTCTCCCTCTGCTACTCCCCCTGTTTGTGCGCGCTCTCTCTCTCTTTCTCTGTCAAATAAATAAATAAAATCTTTAAAAAAGTAAGTTGGCAAACTTCAAAAAGGCTATTTGAAGTAGTAATAATACACATTTGAAAGAGATCACAATATTTGCCCAGAAAATAATTTGGAATCTCTAAAGGGATTATGGCCATTTGTCCAGTGGAAGAAAACACTGAAGATCTCTTTGTTACTTGAGATCTTGAACTTTTAGAACGCAGGGCATGAAGTTCTTTTGAATGTGGAGGGCTGCCCTGGGCACTGACATCCTGCTGGGGGAGAGGGGAAGAGAGGAAATAGAGGATCAAGTAGGTTTTGAAGGGCCAGGCCTGGATTTGGTAGATATCACTTTTGCCCGTGGTCCACTGGTCAGAGCTCAGTCACCAGGCCCTGCCTAAATGCAAGGGCGCTGCTGGGCAACCAGTGCCCAGCTGCAACTCCCTGCTCTGGAAGGGGAACAGAACTCTGGTGGACAGCCAGCATTTCTGCTGTGTAGAAAGATTCCTGGCAGCTCTCAACCCTGTGTATGAGCATCACGTGTGGTGCTTTAAAAAACGCAGGTGCCAGGTCTCTGGCCCCAGGGATTCTGACTCGGTGGGCATGGGCTGGTGACTGGGAGAATCTGTATTTTCAAAGGCACAGCCTGGGTTGAGAGTCACTGGGATGCTCTGGAGCGTGTACCCCTGACATTGTCTCTCAACAGTTTTTAAAATCATTTCTCATCCTTCTCATTGGGAACAGTGCTCCTTATTTGGCTTCTATTTTGTATCTGCTCGTAAAATAGTTCTTGCCATGATCAAAGGGGACTAAGAGTCAATACTTTGGACAGGTTTTCAGTAATGGAGTATCTGTGATGAATACTATATAATTTGATAAATTTTGTATCAATATATGACACAATAAAATAATGCAGGTATGTGTGATTGATGATTTACTGATTTCTGAGAAGTGCAGTTGTTCCCTGTGCCATAAAATCATGTATTCAGAAAACTATTCTTTGAATGATTTGAAACTTTTTATATTTCCTTTTGTGTGCTACAGGAAATAAGAATAAAAAATAAAATTTCACAGTTTCCAAATTCTAATGTAGTCATTTAAAAATTATTACCAGAGAATATTTATTCTGTTGAAAGTATTACTAAATGGGCGCCTGGGTGGTGTTGTCAGTTGACCATCTGACTCTCGGTTTTGGCTCAGGTCATGATCTCAGGGTCGTGGGAATTAGCCCTGTGTCTGCTTGAGATTCTCTCTCTCCCGCTTTCTTTGCCCCTCCCCCCAGTCCCTTGCTCTCTCCCTCTGTGAAATAAATAAATAAATCTTTTTAAAAAAAGAAAGTATTGCTAAGCACAAATATTACATATTAAGGTGCTATTCTCATTAAATGGAATAAAATTAATTACTCCTTTCCTATTCTCCCACTGCATTTTGTATATGTTTTTTGTTTATATGTGTTTAAATATTTTATTTTATATTTACTTAAATACATTTATTTATTTTGTATGTATACAGTGTCTGTTTTAATTAGCTGGCGAGCTCCTGACGGGTAAGGCCAGTATTATGTTCATTGTCTTCATCTTCTACAGTGTGTTCTAGAAATGAGTACTCAAAACGTGTATTACAATGACTGCAAATCACTCACATCATTTAACCTACTCAATGCCTGTTATGTGCCAAAGAATAAACAACGACCAGTACAAAAATCTCTGCCCTGAGAGCTTACATTTTTGTAAATAAAATAAATACATTAAAGGTAAGGTCTGTTAGCTGGTGATAAGTGCAATGGAGAAAAGTAAAGACAGCGTGTTGGTGCAAGATGGTGGCATTTCAGCTTTGTATGGGGAGCTCAGGAAAGGCCTGAAGGGAAAGGAATTTGAGTTAAGCTAAAGACTTGAGTCAGACTTCAAGAAGTGGGTGGACAAATCTTGTCTGTACCTGAGGGCAGAGCATCACAGGGAGGGGGTAGCAAGCATAAGCACTCTGAGGCCAGCATGAAGCCAGTGCGGGGGGGACAGTGTGAGCAAGCGGGAGAGTACAAGGAGGAAAGGCCTTTGTTGTCGGGGCCTTCTAGGCCATGGTTAAGGACCTTGATTTTGACTTTGAGTGAGATGAGAAGAAGGCTTTGAGCAAAAGGGTAACTTTGCTCATACTGAAAAGGTTCATTCTGGCTTTTGAGCTTGTATTTGGCTGCAGAGAGGCAAGAGCAGAAACACGAAAAACAGGGAGTTAAGAGATGAGTGTAAGAATCCAAGCAACATGGTGGTGGCTTGGACCAGGACACTAGCGGTGGAATCAATAAGCAGTGGTCCGATTCTGGATATGTCTTCAACAAGATTTATGGGGAGTGAGAGAAAGAGAGGCATCAGGGATGGACTCCAAGTGGAGGGATGGAGTTAGCACAACTGAGATGGGGAAGACTGAGTGCAGAGGCTTGGAAGGGAAGGCTGGCAGCTCTGGTGTGGAGCTGCCTGTTAGACATGTAAGTGGAAATGCAAACAGGATATTAGATATTAGATATGAACTCAGAGTTCAGGAGATCCAGGCTGGAGATATAAATGAAGGAGTTTTCAACCCAACGGTAGAATTTAAAACATCAGGACTAACTGAGCTCACAGGTGATGAGTGTAGACAGAGCCCTGGGGTTCTCCAAAGTTAAGGTGTCAGGAAGATGAAGAAGTAGCAAAGGCTAGTGCTGGACACTACAAGAAAATATTTCTAGAGAAGGGAATTGCTAATAACAAATATTGCTAGGAAGTCAAGCAGGAAGACAGATGAGGACTGAGAACTGGCCCTTGGACTTAGCAACATGGAGTTTAACAGGGACTTGACAAGAGCTGATGGGGAAGCCAGATGGGAATGGGTTCAAGAGATATTTGGAGGAGAGGAATTGGAGACACTGGGAGGAAATGAGTGATGGGAAGGTGCTACAGGAGGGTGGAATCAAGAGGGTTAAAAATGTCTTTTTTCCCCCAAGAATGGAGAAGTAGCCTGTTTGAGGGTGATGGGCATAACCAAGTACAGGGATAATGTACTTGACATTTTAAGAGAGACAAGGGAGAATTGCTGGGGTAACATCCACGGGTAGTGCATGAGGGGAGGGGGTGGGGCTGGCTCTCAGTAAGAGCTGGGCAGTAATTCTGTCCAGAGAAAGAGGAGGGACAGGGAGGACAGAATAGGAGGCCACAGATGTTGGTAGACGAATAAATGTGGGGAGGAAATTAATTATCTAGCAGGATAATGGATGAGTTCTTTCCATTTTCTAATCTTTACAAGATGTGTATTATTACATACTTTCAGAAGATATTAAAAGAAACAATTCATGCCGACATATGGGCTTCTGTGAGTAATGCAGTGAGAGCAGTTTTAAAGCCTACTCTGTAAGCTTACTCTAGGGTCAGGAGCGACCTCTAGTGGTTCATTTAGGTCATTAGTTTTTTTTCTTGTTTCCTTGCTCTTCAATGTACAAAATAGTACTATCCACATTTTATATTATTTTTAAAGAAACAATTACGACTCACAGCTCAATTTAGAAAAATACCAGGCATTTGAGTAAATTAAATCCAAACCATCTGCAGTCCAAGCTGGAGTTGCTATTATCATTATTTTCTCCTGTAAGTATATCATTCTTTGCCATACTGCCAATATTTATGTCCATTCTGCTTCTTGAACCAGTGGTTTTATCAAACCCAGAGGAATTATCCAAGACTAAGCAATCCTCTCAATGCTACACAGAGTACAAACTCCTCATATTTTTCATTCCTTGTTTCCCTTGACCTTTGGTTGTCATTGGGTTTCCTCACCTGGGATGTCCCCTCACCCTGCATTAATTAACTCATTTCCTTACATCAGTCCTTCCTGATCTTCCATACCATAAATTTCCCTGTTATACAATCTCACAATGGCCTATGGGTTTGCCATTTCCCCCAACTGTAATGAAACAGTCAATTTTGTAATGATTGTTTAATGTTTTGTTTCTTCTGGTAAATCATGAGCCCTCTAAGGGTTGAGACTGTGTCTGGCTTTTTCACCAATGTCTCTTCAGCACTTAGCTCAGTGCTCAGCACATAATGGGGACTCAATAAATACCTATTGAATGAACAGACGATATCCTGCAGGAGACTCTTGCCATGCCCCTTTCAGATCCCAATGCAGAAGAGACTGCATTTCAGAAATGGATTTCTATTTCTTGAATACAATTTGCAATTGCTTTAGGTACACCTGTAACAGATATAACAACTTGTTAGAAAACTGTTCCAGCTACTCTTTCAATAGCTCAACTTAAATTTCTAGCCAGCAAAGCAACTCTTTACAAAGAATCCTTAGATGTGACTCAGACCTTATCAGACCTTTTTTTTCCTAAAACAGAACCAAGGGAAAGACAATAAGATGCAAATAGAGAGGGAAGTACAGTGCAGTCATATCCATGACCTTAACCCACACAGTGTCACTTATTCTCATATTTAGAAACATTCAGCCACCTACAGGACTTAACTCAGCAACAGGACCACTAAAATGGACATGGTGATAGTGTTTACCTGCCTTTAGGGCATCCCAGCCTCATCTTTAGAATCTGAGAGCTTCTATTTAACACCAGAGATGGGTAAGAGGAGAATGGTTGGTTGTGAAATACCACAGCACAGTTCCTTGGGTTCAAGACATGTGATGTGGAATTGAGTGGGAACAGAGTAAAATACTCTGAGCAGGAAGTTGTCCGAGTCTCTCTGGAAAGCCTGTTATTATGGTATCTTCTGTCCCTCTGCCCCAATTCTTGGTATTACAATTTTGATGTAGTCCTTTCAGGACCCTGGAAGAGATTCTCTTCTATTCCTATCCAAAGACAGGATTTTCCTAAAATCACAACTTTAACATTTTTATGTAGGCATATGTGATGATTAACCCTACTCAATGAGAAGTTTATTTATTCTGAACACCTTCAGATTAAATCATCAGAATTAATACACATACATACGTGTATCTGTAGCAGTGTTCTCTCAAACTTGTTCCTTCTTCTCGTGGAGCTCTTCCCCACATCGTTCGTGTGGATGGCTCCTTGTCATCCTTTGGGTCTCCGAGAGACCTCAGAGAGGCTTGGCCTGACCACCCAATCTAATGAGTCCCCTCCTCCTTTCCTCTCTCTCGTAGACCCTGTTATTTTCTTTCATACCATTTATCTCAAGTCTTCATATATTTATTGTGTTCATTCATTAATTCTGTCTATTCCACTGGACCGTAAGGTTCCCAAGGGCAGGGATCTTGTTTGTTTTGTTCACTTTTGTATTTCTAGAGCCTAGCACAGCATGTGACGTATAGTAGGGGCTCCCTAAACAACTGCTGAATAAACGACTATTTCCTTTGTCGTTGCCCTTATACTTCTTCCTTCTGCTTCACTTCAGTTCCTGCTCCTGCATGCTAACTCCCTAGGGGACAGGAGACGGCTACAATGCCCCTTCCCTCCATCAGGGAGTACCGAGAAGGCAACTCCCTTGTTGAGAAGCCGAAGGCTTCTCCTGGGCGGCGGTCACGCAGCACGCAAATGGGCACAGTAATTCTATTAGCGATAGCGTGTCTGAGTCAGGAGAGCTGTCAAAAATGTTTTTACAGTTCCACTCACGGTTCTTGGGGACCCGAAACTGCGAACTACTGCCATTACAATTAGGTGACAATTAGCACAACGTTGAAGTGTGCGTGCGTGCGTTAATTTGCATAACGGACCGAGGGGTCCTACACCATGTCTCCGAAATGAAATCCAGATGGATAGACACATCCATCCTTCCTTCCTTCCTTGCGCGCCAGGAAGCCGAGCCTCCTGCAGCAGCTCCTCTGCCCAATGGGGGGCGGCAGCATCCTAGTAACTCGCTCCCTGAAGATGTGTAGGTGGGTGGAGAGAGATTCGCGTTCAAAGTCTTTTTGACTCTATCCGCTCTCCGTAGCTACTTAGCCCGCTTGAGTTTCAATGCGCGTTGTTGTTTGACGAAGGGCGTCCTGTACACCGCCTGCTGCTCTCCTGATCATGGCTTCTCCGAGTTCCTTCACCTACTATTGTCCTCCATCTTCCTCCCCTGTCTGGTCAGAGCCGCTGTACAGTCTGAGGCCCGAGCACGCGCGGGAGCGGTTACAGGACGACTCGGTGGAAACAGTCACGTCCATAGAACAGGTGAGGTGGCCGGACTGAGCGAGGCGCCCACGCGGGGGCTTCTGGGAGCGGGAGTTCCGTCCGCAGGGCCGTAGGCGTGCGGAACTCACCGGGGAACTACTACTCCCACAGTGCACCGCGGCGCCTTCCCTCTGGGAAGCTCTGGGCGCCCAGGCTTGGTTGTGTTGGGGAATGGAGCGTTTGTGGGGCCAGGTTGGGGAGAGGTCGTTGTCAGGGCTGGGTTTGGAGGGAAGGACAGTACCCGGGTCCTGTCTGCCTAAGGAAGCGGAGAGAATTGTGTTCTGTGCCTGGAGGACTGAAGCAGCCTGGGCGGGTCAGACAGCCGGTTTCATTCTGCCGGGACATCGGGAGGTTTTCAGATGGGATAGTGCACTTTCCTCACCCTGCTCGTAGTTTGGGACATAGAGGGGAAGAGAAGCGGCCAGACTGCGTTCATGCCAT